TCAGACACCCCAGAATACCTACAGGTGCCATATTTTCTCTTTTCCCTGCCCCCTCCCTAACTGCATCGCCTTTTCTGGTTAAGAAGCTCACACCTACTCACTGCAAAAAGAAAAAAAAAAAGTTATTTCTGGAAACACTTTTCCTCCAACAAATATTCATTCAACAACTACCATAGGCCAGGCACTGTTCTAAGTGCTGGCGTGCAGCACTGGATGGAATGGCCCCCGTTTTCATGCAGCTGGTACTCCAAAGGGTAGAGGTCAGGGACCAGCAAGCTGCCTGTGGGCCACATCCAGCCAGCCACCTGTTTTGTCAATAAAGTTTTATTGGAACACAACCACGCACACTCCCATATTGTCTGTAACTGGCAAGAGTTGAGTCATCGGGACAGAGACTCATTGGGCCCACAGAGCCCCCAAATATTTACTATCGGACCCTGTAGAGAAAAAGTTTGCTGGGTTCTGATACAGATTAGCAAGTGAAGATTTCTGATTTGTTCTCCATTCATGGTGTGTACAATATGATCGTATTAGAGGTGTGATTTAATAAATTTTATTTGATTTTGATGGTACTGTCTGATTATAGTGGGATATAAAACTACAAGTTCAGATGCTGCATAAGTCATCATCAGTAATTGCCTGTTACTCCCCATGGACGGTGCCACTGGTAATAGTTTGCTGGGGGGCCTTCCAGAGGTTTTCCTTCGCTTGTGCTCATTATCCATTTATGCATTTTTACAAAACTGGTCTCATAACACACGTACACACGTGCTGTCGCATTACCTTTTTTTTTTTTTTTCGCATTTGCTAGTATAAGATGGATATCTTTTTCTGATAGTAAATATTCTTTTGGCTGTGTTTATTGAGTTGTATGGATATATCGTATTGCATTTCACCGATCCCCATCTTACTGGACGTTTAGGTCATTTCCAAGATTTTGCAGTGATGTCCCCAGGATTTTGCAGTGATATTCCCGGTATCTTGCAATATTTGCTCCCCTGCAGGGAGCATCCGTGTTCATAGATCTTGGCAGGCGTGTCTAATGATTTTCTTGAGATAAATTTCTGAAACCAGAATTGCTGAGTCGAGGGTTATGCATGTTTTAAGTTTCAGGATGCGTGTTACGGCGTGTTTAAACACAGCCCTTAAAGGCCTGTGTTAGCCTGGTCTCCCCGGCACGGCTGTTATGAAGTTATCCATTATGGGCTCTGGGCTGACGCAAGGTCGTCACCCACCAGAGGCTTGGGGTTTGGTGAGCTACTGGTCTGAGCAAGTGGTTTTTAAACCTGCCAAGTTGTTGAAGTTTTTAAGAGCATTCTCATGTACATTTTCCCATTGTAATAGACACTTCCTCCTCAGAGCCTCTCAGAGCATCAGGAAAGGTAGAAGCAGGTGGATGTTGGGGGCTGGAAGGACCTCCAGGACAGGAACTCGGCGTCCCAGTGCTGCCTCTTCTTCAGTGGGAGAACTAAGAGCCAGACAGCAATTCCTGTCTCTATGTCTCAGTTTCTCATATGAAAACGGTCAACTGAATCAACTCAAGAGTCCTTCTTGCTTTAAAGGACACGATTTGATTATTCTCGTGTGACAAGTGACAACTGCAGTGTGGGTGGGCATTGGGTGGATATCAATCATGGGTGCACATCACGAGAGCCTGGCTCATGTTCCAGACGGGGGACTCCCCGGGACACCTGTGTGCCTTAGATGGGTGCGTCTTCATCGTGAGTTTATCAGGTGTGTGTTCAGACGACCCGGTCGGTATCTACTTGCCTGCGGACAGTGAGGGTTTTTGTAGCAGCTTCTGAGGCAAAACTGAATTGGAAGAATATCCTGCCTTTGAGCTAATTACAAATCTGACTTTTCTAGAAGAGTTTTGGGGCCCTTTGGTGGTTGATCTTAAGGCCTCCTAACCCTGGGAGCAAAGCTCAAGCCTTGCTTGTTTGAAGAGCTGCCAGGGTCTGCCAGAGGGAGGAGGCATGAATAATTTGCAGCGCACACAAGGTTACCAGGATACTCACCGGAGAAAGTGCTGATAAACGGTTTGCTTTCTTAAGCCTTATTTATAAGATGAATTCCCTTAGATCATCCTAATCCCTGAATTACTCCAAACTTAGGGGGTCTGTGTTAAAGAGTATGGCATTCAGCCAAATACTTAACATCTGCTTTGTCCAGACACGAAGGCACAGAGAGGTGAAGTCACTTGCCCAACGTCACACAGCTACTGTGTAATGAATCCAGACATTCTGGATCCAGAAACAGTGCTCGTCCAAGGGAGACTGGAAAGAAACAGGTCAATTATAATTATTATATTGTGGGAAGTTGTACAGCAGTGCCGTCCTCCAGAACTTTTCTGCAGTGATGGGAATACTCTGTAGCTGTGCTGTTCACTGTGGTAGCCCCATGGGGCTATGGAGCCCTTGAAGTGGCTAGTGCCACTGAGGGACTGAATTCTTTGTATTTTTAAATTTGAACAGATTTAAATTAAATTTGAATAGCCACATGTGGCTAGCGGCTACCATCTTGAATAGCACGGATAGAGAGACTTGAGATCTAGGGGATGGTTCAGGGAGGGCTTCCTGGAAGAAGAGCCATCAAAGTTGAAATCTGAAGGATAGCCGGGAGGTAGCGGCTGCTCCAGCAGGTCTGGAGGTGAGAGAGAGTGAGTGGCCTGGGGCACATGAGGGTGGCACAGCTAGTGGAAGGGCCTGGAAGGGGCAGGGGATGGGGCGGAGCGGGGGGAAGAGCCCCATTGATGAAGGTCCCACAAGCCATTTTTAAGGTGCTTGGACTTCACCCTGAGGGATATGGGCTATTAAAGGGCTTTGGCAGGGACCCTGCAGGCCCAGAGTTTGTTTTTGGGAAGTGTCATGGGAGGAACGGAAAGGGAGGGAGGCAGGGAGACCCTGGAGCTGGCCGAGGCTGGACAGAAAGTTCCGGAAGGAGACTTTGAAGGACTGGGGGAGTGAGGGAGAGAGGAGTCAGGGGTGCTACCCTTGGGAATCTGAAGTGTGGCATTAGGCGGAGGAGGCAGAAGGCATGTATCCCTGCCCGTGGGGGTCCCACACCCCTGTGCGCGAATCCTAAACCTCTGCAGGAGGGCCCACAGACAGGGATGGATGGAAACCCACCTGTGGTTGCTGAACACCATTAATGTCCGGCTCCCACCTCCCTTGCTTCCAGGCCATCCGAAGGAGGCCAGAAAGCAACTTGCCTGCCTCCCGCCCTGAGTCGTCCACCCTCAGCATCCTACCCACCTTGCCATTCCGATTTCCAGAGGCCCCACCTGGACCTCCCTTCCTCCATCCCTGAGTACTGAAAGATTCCCCCGTCCCCCGGTGGGGAGAGGACTATGAAAATGGTTCTGATTGGGGTGCCTGGGTGGCTCAGATGGTTAAGTGTCTGCCTTCGGCTCAGGTCATGATCTCAGGGTCCTGGGATCGAGCCCCGCATCAGGCTCCCTGCTCAGCGGAGAGTCTGCTTCTCCTTCCCCCTCTACTTGTGCTCTCTCTGTCTCTCTCTCTCTCTCTCAAAATGAATAAATAAAATCTTTTTTACATCTTTAAAAAAAAAAAGAAAAGAAAATGGTTCTGATACCTGGCTCCTGGCTCCTAAGCCGAATGATTTCCAGAGACCTCTTTGAAGCCACACAACAACCCTTGCTTTTCTAATAGGAGAGTGACGCTTGAATGCCAGGCCACACAGCAGGAGCAGAGCAGAGACAACAAGGACTCCCCTTCCCCTGAGCCGTGACCCAGAGCTGTCAACCCCGTGCCTCCTGCTGATCTTAGCATGGGGTTGGCGGGGGGCGGGACACACCCAAGCCCCCTGCAGGAGCTCAGGGCAGCAATGCCAAGCCCACCAGAAGGAATCCCTGAGTCCCCACCCTCTGGCTTCTGAATCTGACCCATGTAGGGGATTAAGTTAGGGAATGCCTGATTCTGTGACATCTTTGAAAAACAGTATTTTAACTGGGAGTATGCGCAGATGACCACTTCCCTTCCTGGGTGCCAGGGAGAATTCTGTTCAGGGTGCGGGCATCTGAGACTGTCAGGTGATCTTTCAAGGCAAAAACCTCCCGAGTTTCCCCGAGTGGAGACTGACTTCATCCCTAAAGCGTGCATACCCCCCCCCACACACACACACACTGCCCATGGGCTTGGCGATTGGGCAGCCTGTCCCAAGGCCCCCTCGCTCATCAGGAGCCAAAGCCTTAAAAATAGGCCACCCCTTGACCTGGTGATTCTGTACTTAGGAATCTCTCTTGTGGGGAATAATCACAGAGATGTGTCACTTGAGCCTCAAGGATGTTCGTCACATTGTTTAGAATAGGGAAAAATATTTAGCAACCTAAATGCCCAGCGCTTGGGGATTGGTCCCATGAATGGCGCTGAGTCCATCCAGTAGGATCTTCTTCAGCCATTTAAAGGTGAGGATCTGGATGAAGTGACACAGGGGAAATTCCGGGCAGGACTGTGCCAGAGTATTGTCCATGGGTGACGGGTATTTTTAAAGCGTTTCTCTTTGTGCGTTTCTAGAATTTCTAAATGTTTTACAACAAACACATATTCTTTTGGTGACTAGAGAAAGTGTTCTGTGGGCAGTGAGTGGTGTTGGGTTGTTTGGACATTAAGCTGTTATTGGGGTCCTCGAGCGTGGCTGTTTATCAGAGGTGGCTGAGGGCTTAATTCTGAATTCCTGTCCTTGCACACACCCCTCCCACAGCACCCCCTTGAGCATCCCGGGGTACACAAGTATCCCCAAATGGTTCGTTCCCCTGGACCACACAGGCTTGTTCCGCCAAAAACGGTTTTGTAGAAGCTGCGAAAAGGCGTGGAGTGTGAGCAAAGATGATAGAACATCCCGACCTCGTGCTAAGTTACAGACTCTGAGGGGCTTCGTCTGTGCCGTGACCCGCCCCCGCCGCCTGCCACCAAGCCCAGTTCCCTGGTGCCTGGCACATAGTAAGCGCTCAGTAAATTTCTATGGAGTAAGTAACTTCGATGTCGAACTTTACCTGGTACAACAGTGAGTCCAGGGTAGGCAGGAAGAGCTCAGCAGGGGGAGAGATCACTGGGTTGTAATGGTTTTGACCGACAGGATGGGTAAAGAAGAGGGAGGGGCGCAAGCAAACCCGCAGAGGCTGGGATGTGTGAGGAGGTCAGGGAGGGTGGGAGGAAGGGTTTGTTTGGGGTGGGGTGGGAGATGGGACTGGAGAGGAAATTAGGGGCTCAACTACAGGGCTATTGGATTTCTGCCGGAGGACAATAGGGAGCCATTGAAGGTTGTTGAGCAGGGAATGGGCTTTTAATTCGCTGAAAGTGAACAAGGTAGGGAAGCCAGCAGTTCAGACATTTAATGGAGCTCCGTGGCTGCCCACGCTGTGCCAGCACTCCTTCCAAGGGCCCTGGGCAAGGGCACAGGCAGCAACTGAGCAGGCAGTGATAGCCGAGGGACCCCAGGTTGCCTGGGGTGCAGTGGTTACCGGTTTGGACGTGGACCCAAGCCTCCTGTCCGGGTTTGAGGTCTGCTTCGCCATGCACTGGCTGTTTGGTTTGGGACATGTCTCTTCACCAGTCTGAGTCTCAGTGTTCTCATCTGGAAAATGGGATTGTAATAAGGATGGCCATGGAACTTCAGTTCAGTGAGGTGGTGTGCAAACAGCTTGGTCAAAGCTGGGCACAGTTAAATGCTCCGCGGGTGCTGTGTTGGAAGCGTGGTGGTGGTGGGAACCCGGGGGCGGGGGACAGCTGAGGGAGTGCCCTAACCAGGTGGACAAGTCCTGGGAGACCCAAGGTGGAGAGAAGATGGTCCTGCATGTGGTGCTAGGCGGACAGAGGGGCACTGAGGTTGGGCAGCATGGTGCCCAGCAGGACCCTGCATGGGTGACGCCTTCATCCCGGCTTGCTTGCCTTTAACACCGACCGTCCTGCCTCCTGTGGTGTCTTGGGCACATTGGGACAGTTGGTCACCCTAATGCCCACCCCAGACATCTGCACCGGCCTCTAAGCACAGTAGAGAGCTGGGGCGGGTTTGAGCCGGGGGCAATGCCGTGTGATCTGTGTCAGCCGGGGGACCAGGTTCTGAGCATTGATGGAAATCTCTCCCCTCTGGCTTGTCTCTGCAGGACCAGCTGAAGCAGTGTTTCTCCAGGCGGCCCCCCGAGGCCAAGGACACCGACACCCTCGTGCAGGAAGCCGACAGCCAGTATGGGACATGGACAGACCAGCGCCAGAGCGGGGAGAGGTAGGGCCTGCGGGGCTCCTGGCTGCAGGGTGGCGCGTCTGGATGGAAGGCAGCGTGGCCCACGTGCCCCCTCATTTCTATATTCCTCGAACCTGTGTTGTCTGTAGGTAGCAGCGTAATCCATTCTTGTCCGAAAAAAAATTTAGAAAGTACAAAAAAATTATTTTAAAAGGATGTACGAAATGTCCAGAATAGGTAAATCCATAGAGACAGAGAGTAGATTAGGTGCCAGGGGCTGGGGGTGGGTTAAGTGCCAGGCTTCCTTTTGGGAAGATGTCCTAGAACTGTATCATGGTCGTGCCTACACCACACGGTCAGCGTGCTCAACGTCACTGATAGTCACCTTGACGTTATGTGTATTTGGCCATGATGAAAGGAAGTACAAAGAAAATGAAAACACCTGTAACCCCAGCACACGGGTCATTAATGAAGGCACTGATGCTTCTTGCTAGACGTCTGTCTAGACTTTTTTTTTTTTTCAGTAAGTCCATGTGTGTTTACAAACAGAGGAGCATGCCCCACATGTTGCTTCATAAGCTGTCTTGCATTTAACATCGCCCCAGTTGATGGCCTGTAGGGCCCTCAGATGTCTGCCTGATACAGGAGGCAGGCAGCCCCGAATCCCGGCTCCACCCCAGCTGCCGATGGGACTCTGGGTAACTGAGTTATATGCCTTCCAGAGTTGACATTCCTCCCCTGTAGGAAGGGAATGATGCTTGTAAAAACAGCCGGGCTTTATTGAGCGTACGTGCCAAGCACTGTTGTAAGCACGTAAATGTGTTAACGTCTAATCCTGTTGCCCCATCTTGCAGAGGTGAAGGCTGAGGCACCCCACCACACGGGGTTATTGGCAGGGGAACCTGTGGGCAATTAGCATATTTCCTGGCACGTAGTCGAGCACCTGCTCATGGCCCCTGTTCATTATTTTAAAAGTACAATTTTTCTTCTCCCCCTGGGGCGGGATCGAGCACAGGAGTGGCTTCGTGGACACATGGGGTGGACACTGCCGTGTTCTCAGCTCACGTCTTTCCTAGCCCAGGGCCCTGGGATCGCGTGGTCACGCCACCACGGTCAGGGTTGCGTGGTCTTTTGAAGTCAGAGAGACCTGGGTTGCCTCCGGCATGGCCCTGTGCTGGCCGTGTCTCTGTGTGACTCGGTTTCCTCGCCTGTGGTTGGTCTGCCCAGGGATCGGGCAGACTCAACTCCAGGTCCCCCACCTGCTTCCCCTGCGCTTCCAGCCGGGAGTGGTCGTCACAAGCCTCTACTGGGTTATGTCCCACAGCCGACGATGTGAAAGTCGGATGGAGGCGGATGGAATTGAAAATGGGTACGAAGAAGACAAAAGGAAGCAAAGGTGATACCCGTGTAGTACCTGTGAAAGCCTTTTCTCGCCAAACCCGTGACATGGGTGCCGTTAAAGAGCGTCCTTAAATATCACTAGACTTCACTTAGATTTCCTGCAAGAGCCCTCTGGACTCTGAGTCCGGAAGCCTGCGTCTCGGTTTTGCCTCGCTCCTGAGCCTCCGTTCCCCGCAGCTGGCCTCTGGGACCTGGGGCCGCTCCTGTGGGTGGGCGCCCCCTTTTGTTCCCCGGAGGTACTGCAGCGCCCCCTCCCTGGCCCGTCCCATCCCGCAGTCGCGCGTCCCCAGCCCTGGTCAGCAGCGCCATCTGCTGCCTCCTCGGTGGTATTTCCCTCTTGTCTGGCGGAGGTGGGGGGTTTGCTTCAGTCCCACCCCGCACCCCCACATCCTGCCTGTTCCGAGTAATAAAATCATCCCAGGGCGGACAGAGCTGGGATGTGCTCCCGCCGTGAAGCACCAGGATAGGTTCTGGGCAGGGGTGCGGCCCTGCTTCCAGGGCAGACCCTCCTCTCAGGAGGTGGTGTCCCGTGCCCGGCTGCCCTTCCTCAGGGTTGGCTCTCCCATGCTCTTGACTTTGGTGTCTTTTTAATGGGGAGTGCTTTTTAGCATAATGACTTAACTTATTTTTACATTTCTGTCTTATGTGGTTCTAGTTATCCGAGCCGTACTTAAATACATTACCATGGGAAGAAATCCCAGAAGTCGGAGAGGGTCAAGGGCATGGATTCCGGAGTGAGTTCTGCCCCTTTGGGCAAAGCCACTTCACATCTCTGTGCCTTGGTTTCCTCGTCTTTAGCGAGGTTAATATTTAACTTCCCGGGGCTAATCCTACCTGATAGCATTGTGGCGGCCTAGCAGGACTGGGGAGAGGATTCAGTGATTCAGTGGGTAGCAGTGCCTGGCACGTAGTAAGTGCTCAGTAACTCTTGACTGAATGCATGCATGAATGAATGGAACCATGCAGAAAATTCCCCTGCTTCCTGCTCTACCAGAAGGGACTGGTGATTTTTTGATCGACGTCAGCGCTGTCCAACAGAAATATAACTCGAGCCACAAACACGAGGTGTGGGTCATTTAAGATGTCCCAGGAGCCACCTCAAAAGAGTAAAAAAAAAACATCTTAACAATTTAATTTAAATAACAATATTTTAGCGAATCCAGATCCGAAATATTATCAGTTCAACATGCATCAGTATTTTATATTCTCTTTCTCTCTTTTTTTTTTTCCAAAGTGGTGGGAATCCAGTGTGGACTCTATACTCTGGGCTCACACTCGCCACATGGCGAGGGCCCAGTCGCCACGTGTGCCCAGTGTCTCCCGCCCTCCTGCCCAGGGCAGGGTTGGAGGGTCTGGAATGGGACCGGACCGGCCCCTCCCATTCCAGCCCTGTCCAGGTGTTCTGGAGGCACCACGAACAGCGCCAGGCTTGCCCAGAAAGGACATAGCCTACGGGGATGTCCTGTGTCTTAGAAAGCACAGCCTGAACCTGCTTTCTGCACCTCCTCTGCTGGAAATTCAGTTCTGTCCAACCACCTGCACAAATGAGGTCTCCCTTCCTTCCTTTCTCATAGTCTGGCCCCCGAGTCCCCGTCCCCGGACAGCAGTGCCGTGTCGGCCCGGAAGCAGCTCCCCAGCAGCCGCTTGTCCTCACTGTCCTCCCAAACGGAGGCCACCTCGGCCGGGGACCAGCACAGCTGCTCCAGAGACCAGCGGAGCACCAGCGTGGACCAATCCAGTACCGATTTGGAATCCACGGATGGGATGGAGGGGCTGCCTCCGCCAGACCCCTGCCCCGTGAAGAGGGTGGACGACTTCTCCTTCATTGATGTAAGTCTGTAACTGGGAGCGTGTGTTGGAAAGAGTCCTTTCTTCTTAAAGGGATGCTCTGGCATCTCGCAGTGGGTGGCCCCTCTCAGGGGTAGAATCTGTGTGCCAGGGACCCCTGTGGTGGGTGTAGAGGGAACAGTCTTTGCGATGGGACTGATGTCTGTGTGTAGCTTGCACCTGCCACACACCAGCTGTGTGTCTTGGGGCACACGTCTTCACCTCTCTGAGCCTTGGCTTCCTCACCCACTGATAACCGGCACAGTGGGCTCCACGACCTCAAATATAATCACCTGGGTTCAAATTAAAACTGATCCTAGCCCCCACGTGTTTGGTAAGCAGGAAGTCTGGCGCCTCATCTCCGGGGGCTTGGAGACAGTTGGGGGGTGGGCTGCCTGAGGTTTGCAATTCCAGGTGTGCAGAGTCTGGAGTTTTGCTCAGACCCATTCTGCTGGGTGTTCTCACCAAGGCCTTGCTCGGTGGGACGTGTCTCTGATGCCCGCAGATCCAAGTCTCTCTGTAAATGGGTAGTGGCAGCTCCGGGAAGGGGGACCCTTCAGGCATAGATAGCCCTCATGTGGGTCCCCGGGGGCAGCCCCTAGAACTCAGCTCTTCTAGGTCCCAAGCAGAACCAGCCTCCCGGATGCCAGCCGCCCAGGCCCAACGGCATCCCGCTGTAGCCCCTTCCAGACCAGTACCTGTCCTCTTTACTCCCGCAGGAGCCCCACCTGCAGGGGGCAGGCACAGTTTCCTTTTCAACCCTCCAAGTCCCATTATTCTCCTCCCCTGACAGTAGGGCTACCCACCCCCCAGCCCACCCTCCTGTGGATGCATCATCTAAATGGTGCAAAACCTAAAAGCAACCCAGTCTCCTGGCAGTAAAGCCTCATGCCCACACCCTTAGGGATGGCTACCCAGATTCCCCCCCGGAGAAGGAACCCCCAGTGCTTTGGGAGAAGGGGCTTCCTCTGGATCCTCAAAGGGAATTCCCCCTTCTAACTACAGTCAGAGTCTCTTGCTGGCGCCTCTGAATTAAGGGCAGAGATGGGAAAAGACACAAGTTTGGTCTCCCTTGGGCCACCCCATTATATAAACATGCACATGGTGTGGGTTGGAAGGATTCAGTTAGGTGATGTGTTCAGGTATTCATTCAACAAACATGTACCAAGCTCAAGCTGTGTGCCAAGCGTGGCTGTAGCTTACGTGCTTATAGGATGTCCCCGGGCCATGGCACAATCCGCTGGACTTAACCTTCTAGAACACTAAGCCGTTCTTTCTCAGGGTCCATTATAAATACCAACAGCGGTGTCAACAGCCACCAGTCCCCGAGTGGTGAGACTGCTCATAGGCCAGTAGCCCCAAGAGGCAAAAATTCCTGCCCCATCCTGCAGATGGGAGAACCAACGTGGCCATTGGGTGACTCAAATGCGAGTGTCCCCGATCCCAGGTCTGGCTGCTTATTTATCACGTACTGAAGTCTACGGGCACTGCCCACCCCAACTGGCGGCTCCTGTGGGGGCCGTTTGGAGGCTGAAAGGGAAGCTGAGGCACCAAGGCATCCGGGCCCTGCCCCAGCCTGTGGCCGAGGGGTAGCCCCGGGGAAACACACCCAGCTGCCCTGCAAGCCAGCTCCTTCCTGGGGCAGTTCCCTCCCCCCTTTCTCTGAGTCTGAAAAACTGGATCTGAGAAGCGATCCCCCAGTTTGGGACTTCCGTCCCTCCCCCCCCCAGCCCCATCAGCTCCCCCCACTGGCCGCCATTGTGACCACCTTGAGAAGAAGCTGCACAAACATCAGCTCCCTCCTCCCGCCCCCAGTGTGTCGTCTGCCACTTACCAACCGGTGGGAAATGATTCACCGAAATTAGCCCGTCATCGCTCCTTGAAAAGGCCTTGGCTGATAGAGCTTCTCCAAAGCAGACCCGAGAGGGAGGACCCCACATTTCAGGCGAGCCCGGGAGATGGCCGGTAACAGCTGCTGCCTGTGTCAGCCTTGGTCAGACACTGTCTCAAACCAGGACTTGCCCCGCCTGGACTCACTGAATTCTCTCGACCACCGTGGGCGGCAGGTACTCCTGTGATCCCCTTTTCTACAAAGAGGGGCACCTCAGGGAGGTGAAGTCCGCGGCTCATGCAGCTAGGATTTGAACCGAGTGGGATTTGAACACAGAGCTCTGAGTTCTTCGCCTCCATTCCCCCAGGCGATCGCTGGGCCAGGGGCTGCCCCACCTCCTGGCTGGGCGCCCCTGGCTGGTGTGCCCCCCCGACACCTTTCGTCACTCAGTCACGGACTGTCCACCTGCCTCTGCTCAGAGTGTGATGCTTGTAGGCAAAGGCTTGGCGCAAGTGCGTTGCTCTGCACCCTCTACCTGCCCCCCCAAAGGAGGTTGTGGGTGGAGGGGGGACCGCACCGAGGATGCCTCAGCTCCCGGGCCCCGTGTGAATAGGGTTCCCACGAGGATTTAGTTAGATGATGTATCCAGTTATTCATTCAGCAAGCAAACAAACACTGATTGGGCCCCTGCTGTATACCGAGCAGGGGTTCCAGCTTCCATGCTCCTATGTCACCAGGAGGGAAAAGGCATTTTCATTCATGTCCACTCTGGGGCTGTGCCAGGGCCTTCAAGGCTCACCAGCCTACGTGGTGTGTTTCGTGGAGTAATTGGGGCTTACAGTGTTGCGGTGGCCATAAAAATGTGAACATGTTGGCCCACGTACCACCCACAGCATCTCGTGCGTCAGGGAAGCTCCCATGGGCGGCGCCCTCAACTAATGGTTCCCTTTGCTTTCTCCCTCTTCCTGCCTGCCCCTCCCAAAGCAAACCTCAGTCCTCGACTCAAGTGCCCTCAAGACCCGGGTGCAGCTCAGCAAGAGAAGCCGCCGCCGGGCTCCCATCTCCCACTCCCTCCGGCGCAGCCGAGTCAGTGAGTCGGAGAGCAGGTCTCCTTTGGAGGAGGAGGCTGACAACGTGTGGATGTTCAAGGACTCAACAGGTACTCCGTGCCCTCCCTTCTCCACAGATGCCACACTGAACAGCAGGACGGATTTAGGTTAGACACCAAGAAGAACTTCCTGACTTTGTAGGCTGTAGGATGTTAGAACACAGTTACATAGGAACCTGTGCTCTCTTATTGTACAGACCTTATTAGAAATTAGGTGAAAAAGGTTTTTTTCAGGATGATATATTCACTGGGGCTCCATGGGTTGTGAAGGACAGAGATACAACTTAATAGGTTTTTGCTGTTTCTGCCTTTATCCTTACTAAAGTCACTGATACTTTCTTGAGGTTTGTTTGCGGGTCTTTGCCCAGACTCTCGAGTTGAAAGATCAGTTCTATTTATCATCAGTCTTTATGTTTCCAATGAATTATTTTAAGGCTACTCATTTTCCTCTAAGGACTTTTTTGGCTGAGTCCTATGTCAAAACCTGAACTGAATCTCAAAGAGCCAAGAGGCATCAGCCAGGGAAGGGTATTCCATACAGAACAGTGGGCTCAAAGGGGCAGGGGTGCGGGAAGCCCATCTCTGTGTGCAGCAGAGGTCTCTCTAAGCAGTTCAGGGCCGCTCACGCCGGGAATAGCAGGGGTCGTGCCGGAAAGGTGGGCAGAGGCCTGCTCATGGACAGTCGTGATTCCTTGCTAAGGAGTTCGACTTTGTCTGTGGATGGGGAGCCATGGAGGAGTGTTAAGAAGCAAAATCTCCTCTTGGAAACCGTAGCAGGTGACCTCCCTGCTCTGCACATATGCTGTGGTGTGTCCCCCAAACACTTGCAGGGCCTTTGTTCACATGGGGTTTGTCCTCTCCTACCTCATGTTTATTATTCCCTCTCCTACCTCATGTGTATTATTATTATTATTATTAGTTTAAAGATTTTACTTATTTACTTGCGATAGAGCGAGAGAGAGCACGCACAGAGGGAGAGGGAGAGGCAGACGCCCCGCTGAGCAGGAGCCCAATGCGGGGCTCCATCCCAGGACCCTGGGATCATGATCTGAGCCAAAGGCAGCCACTTAACTGACTGAGCCACCCAGGCGCCCCCCCTCATGTTTATTATTAAAGGAAGTGTTTAAATGCCTTGATTGAGACCTCTGCACACTTTCTGGGTTTTCTGAGCCAAATTCCACCGAGCTGCCTGGAGCAAATAAAAACCAACATGGGGACAGAATCACACCAGTACCCCTAGCTGGAACGTGGCAGCAGCAGTCTGGTTCCCAGCAGCCTCAAGGAACCGGCCTGGGGCTGGGGGAGGCCTGGGGGTATGCTTTCTGAACACACCCCAGTTCCCTGCATGGCCTAGGGGCTCCAGGGGAGCAGGCCTTGCCTGGTTCCTCCTCGTCCATCCCCACCTCCTCCCCGCACTCCTCACTGCGCCCAAGCCCGGGCCAGGGCCTCCGGGAGGCTGAAACTCCTCACCCCTCACTCCCGGAGGAGTGGGGACAAACGGTCCATGTCGCCAAAGTCTCTCCTATGAGGCTGGAACATGGCAATGGAGTGAAGTCCCAGCAATGGGGACTCTTGCGAAGGGAAGTGGCTTCTGGTCAGGCCTTCCACGAGACACATGAAGCCCTCCACGCCCTCTTCTGAGACCACCAGCCCCGTGCATTGCTGGCTGAAGGCGTTTCCGTCTCCTTGCCTCTCTGCCAAAGACTTCCTTCTCTTTCCCTGACTGGGAAAGAGCCAGGAGCCAGGAGGGGGGTCTGTCTGTGCCTTCTCCCAGGAGAACATCCGTCATACCGCATTGTCAGCCATGAGGAACCTGAGTTTGTCCTCATCTGTAAAATGGGCCAGTGACGACTTCCGGGCTGGGCTGGTGCGAGGACTGCATGAGGGACTTTGTGCAGAGGATCCGGTGGCTGCCAGTGATGTCAGTGCTCTTTTCTTTGCGACAGAAGAGAAATCTCCCAGGAGGGAAGAGTCCGATGAGGAGGAGGAGAAGCCCTCCAGGGCTGAGAGGACCCCCACCAGCCATCCGCAGAGGATGCCTGTGTTTCCAGGCATGGACCCGGCAGTGCTAAAGGTAACAAGCTTCACACCCAGAGCTACCCTCGACCTCGGCAGCAAGGAGAACAGGCCCCATGTGTCCTTCCCTCCCTCCCTTCCCCCATTCCCCCTTCCCTCCCTCCCTTTCCCCTTCCTCCTTCCCTCTTCCCTCTTCCTTCCTTCCTTCCTTCCCTCCCTCTCTCCTTCCTCCCTTCCTCCCTCCCTCCCTCCCTCCCTCCCTTCCTCCCTTCCTTCCTACCTTCCCTCCCTCCCTCCTCCCCTCCAATTTTGAAACAGTTCAACTCACAAGAAGTTGCAGAAATAGTGCCGGGGGTGGGCATGCGTGCCTCACCCAGCTTCCCCCAGTAGTAGCCCACACGGCCACAGTACCTGCCATTTTTTGCAAGAGTAAAAAGTCCGTGAACAGCACACGCACGCCTGTCCCTGTGGCTGATTTATAAACCTGCCAGATGGGACCGTGTGGCGGCCGCTGCCCTAGGCCAGGGGTTTCCTGCCTTTCGTTTCCAGCGTCTGAACAAATGCCCTGTCACAGGGCAGCCCGGCACAGCAGGCTGCAAAGGCGTGGGCTCCGGGCGGGTGCCCCACGGAACTCCCGAGGCCGGTGCTTGTGTCCCTGGACGCCGCTCGGGTCCCCCGCACGCTGTCGAGACGAGGCTCCTGCGACTCGTTTGCTACAGTTAGCGTGAGCTCCTTGAACCTGGCAGTCAGCAACAGTCGGGGGGAGGCTACTGGGCTCATTCTGGAAGGAGCCCTGGGGTTGGGGTTGGGGTTGGGCAGACCCGGGGCGAATCCCAGGTCTTGAAAACTGTGTGCCTTTAGGCACACTGCTTGATCTTTGACCTTGAGGCTACTCCGCTGTAAAATGGGGAGAGCCAGCCTCTACTTCCGGCTGACGTGTGTCACATACGTTAGGCCTGGTCGCCAAACGGCGGGTGCTCGGCGCAGAGAGGTGTCAGGCGGACGATGGTGATGGGGGCCGCCCAGCGTTGCCTCGGAGACACCTGTCACCTACCACCAGCACACCCCCGGGCTCCCAGGGGAGCTCTGTGAACATCATACTGTCATCCCATTCCCGACCATAGCCCCTCCCCCAAAATGGGGGACATCGGCCCTGCCTTTTTCCTGTGGGAGCATGATAGTCAAAATCTCATCTTATCCATGTGGACACAGGACCAAGAAGCTTCGCAGAACTGAGTGTCATCTGCAAGATGGGGCCATTACCTCCATGCCGGGGTTCTTGGGAAGTGAAAGGAGACAGAACATCCCGTCCCAAGGTGGTGGCTTTTCCATCAAAGAGGAGAGGACACGATTGTGTGGGGTTTCGGTGCTGGTTCTTTGATCCTAGTGGCCAAGGGTAGCTGCGTAGACTGCTCGCCTGGCCTCCGATTTCTCTTAGCCTCCAAGGTCAGGTGGCATCTCCCCCGCCCCTGTGTTTCCTGCCTGGGTCCGCTCAGTTGCTGGGGGGCCCTGTTGTTGCCAAACAGTGACGGTGCCATCAGATGGGAGCCTTCCGCAGACCAGAGGTGGTAACAGACTCGGCTCTCTCTTCTCTCCCCAGGCTCAGCTGCACAAGAGGCCAGAGGCTGACAGTCCCAGTGAGGCCCCAGGCTGGGCCCCCCAGCCCAAGACCCCCAAGTCCCCCTTCCAGCTGGGCAGTCGCGTGCTGCCCTCCAGCATGGAGAAGGACGACAGGTGAGGGGTCTTGGGGATGAGGCCTCCACCCTGGACTCAGGATGCAATTCTGGGGGGTGCTTATCTGGGTCTTAGAGCTGGATGCAAAGGCGAGTTGCAGCTGTGTGTTTCCCTCTAGCAGCAGAACTCTGTTCACGTGAACTCTCGGCAGCCTGAGATCTAAAAACACGCTGGGGTAGGGGGGAAGAGGACCAGGAATCAGGCCGGCTGGCCTTACTCTTCCCCCACCCCCCTCCACGTCCCACACGGAAATCCAGGGCTGTGTAGTGGGACTACTGACCTAGTCTAGCCGAGCTGCTTGGCCTGGGGGCGGGGTGGGGGGTGTCACTCTGCCTCTCTGGGCCTCAGTCTCCTTATCTGCAAAATGGGTTGACTCATCATTCTAACCTTCCAGGGTGGTCATGAGGACAAAAGGAGAAAGTGTGTGCAGAGCCCTTTGCATTGGCACTGGCTTGCAGACGTGCTCGAGAAAGGACAGTGGGATTCTGGGGCTCCCGGGGCACTCAGTCAGTTGAGCGTCCGATTCTTGATTTCAGCCCAAGTCATGATCTCAGGGTCTTGAGATCGAGCCATGCATCGGGCTTTTCTTACCGCAAGTTAACACATAAAAGTGAGGGATTATTCACACTAAGTTGTAATGTTGTAAGTGCTGCGACAGAGCGGGGTTTGGCAAGCTGTAGCCCATGGGCCAAGTTCCGCCCACTGTCTGTTTGTGTAAATAAAGCTTTATTGGCACCCAGCCACACCCATTCCTCTCCGTATAGGGCTGCTCCCGTTAGGGCTGTGGGGTTGGCTAGTTGTAGCAGGCACCCCAGGACCCACAGAGTCAAAAAACTACTTCCTCTCTGGCTCTTTATCTGATCCCGGTGATAGAGGAAGGACTCGTAACCCAGACTTGAGGAAGGACAGTGCAGAAAAAGGCTTCCAGGAGAAGGAGTTGCCTGAGCTGAGTCACGATAGACAAAAAGATGGCAACGTGAGGGGTTCCCCAGGCTTAAGTCACAGCACGTGCAAAGGCCCGGAGGCCTGACATCACAGGGGGTCTGTAGGCAGTGCCTATTAGGAGAGCACAGAGCGGGCTGTGGGAAGCTAAAGGACAAGAGGTTAAGAGAAACAAGGCCATAGTTGAGATGGTGCCTCTTGTGCTCTGGAGATACCAGAATTGCAGGGTGGCTCTGGAGTCAGCTGAGCACTCCAGTGTTTCTCTGGGGCTGGAGGAGCCCCCAGACCAGGGTCTCAGAGGAACCTCTCTGGAGGCCTGGTCTGGTGCCTCTGCCATCGGGTGAGGCTGGCTTGGGGCACCCCAGAGTCCTGTCTGCCCAGGGGACCTCTCCTTCCTTGCACACCCCCATCCCACCCCAGCTGGGTCAGCAAGTTCCCTGAGCCCTCTAGGGGTTGGGGTCAGGAACTTTCTCTGAGATCAACATAGGTTGGATCTTGTGAGTACTTGTGTATGATTATAAAGTAGTATATGCTCCAGTCCCATCCATGTTGATGCACATGGTGGGTATTCATCCTTTCTGATGGCTGAGTAATATTCCATTGTATATATGGACCACATCTTCTTTATCCATTCATTTGTTGAAGAACATCTCGGCTCTTTCCACAGTTTGGCTATTGTGGACATTGCTGCTATGAACATTGGGATGCATATGGCCCTTCTTTTCACTACATCTGTATCTTCAGGGTAAATACCCAGTAGTGCAATTGCTGGGTCATAGGGTAGCTCTATTTTTAAATTTTTGAGGAACCTCCACACTGTTTTCCAAAGTGGCTGTACCAACTTGCATTCCCACCAACAGTGTAAGAGGGTTCCCCTTTCTCCACAACCTCTCCAACATTTGTTGTTTCTTGCCTTGTCAATTTTTGCCATTCTAACTGGAGATTATGCTGTGAAATAAGTCAAACAGAGAAAGTCAATTATCATATGGTTTCACTTATTTGTGGAACAAAAGGAATAGCATGGAGGACATTAGGAGAAGGAAGGGAAAAATGAAGGGGGCGGAAATCGGAGGGGGAGACGAACCATGAGAGACTATGGACTCCGAGAAACAAACTGAAGGTTTTAGAGGGGAGGGGCTGGGGAATGGGTTAGCCTGGTGATGGGTATTAAGGAGGGCACGTATTGCATGGAGCACTGGGTATTATATGCAAACAATGAATCATGGATCACTACATCAAAAACTAATGATGTACTGTATGGTGATAACATAATAAAATAAAATTTAAAAAAATAATCTATGCTCACCATAGAAATTTTGGAAAATATAGGGGCACCTGGGTGGCTCAGTCGTTAAGCGTCTGCCTTCGGCTCAGGTCATGATCCCAGGGTCCTGGGATCAAGCCTTGCATTGGGCTCCCTGCTCAGTGGGAAGCCTGCTTCTCCCTCTCCCACTCCCCCTGCTTGTGTTCCCTCTCTCGCTGTGTCTCTCTCTGTCAAATAAATAAATAAAATCTTTAAAAAAAAGAAATTTTGGAAAATATAAAAAGAATATAAAGTAGAAAACAAAATCACCGATGATCCCACCCCGCAAAGACCACCAGTGTGAGGTCAGGCCATCTCTCCTTCCATTTTAATTTAAAATGTACTTGAGATCACAACGTACATGTAGCTTCTTTCCCTGTTATGTGTTTCACGTGGGCCATTTTCCCAAGGCCGTTACACATGCTTCGTAAAAACGATCTTTTTCTTGAAAAGAGTTGCAAAGAGTCACGACTTTATGGCTTTTGTTAAGACGGTATGTTCTCACTACAACACAGCAAAGTCCGTGAAGAAAGTGAAAACTAAAATACTCGGGAGCGTCATGATTGAGATGGTGGCTGCTCGAATATATTCACTTTGAGAAGATTCACTGACCTGCACACTTATGGTTTGAGTAGTTTTCTGCATGTGTGTTCTTCACTTTAAAAAAGTTAAAACAAACCTTACCTCCCCCAAACGGTCATGTGTTACTGTTTGGTAAACATAAGGCATCTATCTGTGTCTCACGGACATCGTGTTAGTCAAGTATTCTCCAAAGAAACAGAAACAATAGGATGTGTGTATACACAGACACACACAGAGCAGAGGGAGGAAGGGAGGGAGAGACAGAGAGAGAGGAAGAGGGGGAGAGAGTTAGAGAGAGATTGAGATTGAGATTGATTTTAAGGAACTGGCTCCCCCAATCATGGGTACCAGCAAGTGCAAAATCTGCAGGGCAGGCTGGTAGGCTAGAGACTCAGGGAAGAACCAATATTGTAGTTTGAGTCCCCAGAGCAGTCTGTTACCAGAATTCCCTCTTCTTCTGGGGAGGTCAGTCTTTTTCTATTAAGGTCTTCAACTGGGATTGGATGAGGCCCACCCATAATAAGGAGGGTAATCTGCTTTACTGAAAGCCGACTGATTTAAATACTGATTTTGTCTTTAAAAATGCCTTCACAGAACCATCTAGAACAATGTTCAACCAAATATCTAGGTACTGTGGCCTAGCCGAGTTGACACATACAATTAACCATCATAGGCATTTACCTGGGTAGAGAGCTAGAAGGATGGAGGTATGCCTGGGGTGATGGATGGACGGAGATAATTCATGTGTCAGCGTGACTTCACAGCTGCAGATTATTTCATAGAATGGGCGTACCGTGATTTATTTACGATTCCTTGTTGTTGGGCGCTTTGTTTAATTCCTGTTTCTTGCGCATCGATCACATTAACATGGCATCTTTACCACCTTCGAGTGCCCAGCTCAGCATCACCTGGGCACTGAGGATGCAGGGTCGGGTACCTCACAGCCCTGCCTGTAAGGAGCCCTCAGGCTGGCTCGCACTTGATTCTCACTGGCTTTGTGGTTTCAGGTCAGAAGAGCCCTCTCCCCAGTGGTTAAAGGAGCTAAAATCCAAGAAGAGGCAAAGCCTGTATGAGAACCAAGCTTGAGCAGGTATGAAGTGGGGATGCAGTGAGGAACCTGGACCGGGAGACAAAGGGTCAGAGACTCGAGGTGTTGTATCCTAGGAGAGAGAAGGGAAAATGGGTGCGGGTGTTCTGGGTTCCAATAAAGAGGGTAGTGCTGATCTGTTTCCTCTTAGGGGAAAAAAACCCAGGTGGGCAGCCTGGTCGAGGAGCCAGATAACCTAGGCTCTGGGCTCACGCACTTCTCACTGCATCTCAAAACCCTTTTATGAAGTGGAAAGGCAGGACATCAGGGGTTAGCTTAATCCGAAATGTCTCCAATTTTTACATTCATATACAACCTGTATGATTAAAATTTAATTTGAAAAAAAAAAAAGAAGGATATGAAAAAGTCAAATGATTAGATATGCCCTGGTGTGGGTCCCAAATGACTTCATATCTCAGGGGAACTTCAGGTTCCCCATCTGTAAAATGGGGTAACAGTGCCCATGTCACTGAGGGGTCCCCGGGGCTCACTGAGGAGGCACTGAAGTGCTGGCGGTCAGTCCTACGTGTAGGAGCATACGGCTCATACCCCCTGAAAGCTGGCTCTGATGTGAGCAGCCCAGGAGACCCGCCAGCCCCTTCCCCGGAAACCTCAGATGCAGAAGACACTGACCACAAAGCATTTTCCTGACCTGCTTAGTGGCAAAACCTGACCTGTGTGGATGTCTGTACTTTACGCTGCGGGTATATTATGGGGTGTTTCATAATATATATGTGTGCACATATGCATGTGTATCTGTGTATATAATAACCACCCCCCCAAATTCTAAATCCCCAGGTAATCTGTGCTCAAGGGTTTTGGATAAGGAATGGGATCCTGTGTTGATTTTGTGTGTAGTGTTCTTACATGTGATATCTCTCTGAACCTTCCAGCCATCCATTTGAGGAAACAGGCTGGAACCCTCACCTGACCCTAAACTTCATGTGGGTTCTACTGCACCTGGCCACCTGCCACCTTCCTCACCCCACTCCAAAAAAAAAAAAGTCACCTTTCCCAGCCTGTGGCCTGTGGGGATGGGGGGATGGCCGTCTCGAAGAATACCAGACAAGGTTTAAAGGCTTGATGGCCGAGACACCTAGGGTCCCATGTTCCTCTTGCTGACGCCAGGACTGTCCCTTTCTTTCCAGACAAGGGTCACTGCCACATCTAACGAACAGAAGCCTTAACTGTCAGAACCCGAAGATGAGGCCACACTGATGCCATTCCTTCCTGCACAAGGCTCCCTCCCTGGGCCCTTCCAGTGGGGTGGAGAACACGGCCCCGTGCCTCCTGCCTCTCCACAGGCTCCCCTCCCCCGCCGCCGATCGGGGCGCGAAGACCCGCCCTCCTCAAGCCCTTGCATGTCTCCGCAGACAACACTTGAGGCTGAGGACGAAGCCAGGCTGCCCAGAATTGTCCATGCTGGTGGTTTTGTGTTTTATGTGAACACTGTGCATTTCTACCCACCGTAGACATCACTCTGGGACCGTCAGTCTGAGGCTGGACCATCTCCCCGGGTTCTGGAAAACACCTGTATTATGAGGGCACCTCTCCCCTCGCCACCCCCACCAACCCCCACCAGGGCAGGTCCTTTCAAAAGCCTGTTTCCAAGGAAGAAGAGACTCCGTTTCCTGCTGTGACTGTGGCCCAAGGCAGGGTCATGGGGTTGGGTTGTGATTGCTTTATGGGCCAGTTCCACCTCCTTCCCTCTCCCAAGAATCAGCAGCTCCAATTTTTTAAACATACCCACCCTCTCGTTTCAAGTGTATTTATCGTCACAATGGGGCCGTGCGCATAGATGACCTGCTCATTATACATCACTTCGGTTTGCTTTAGAAGGCGTTAAAGCAATAATTCAGCCAGCTTTCTTTGAAATTTGATATGTATATGTTTTTTACGTTCAAGAGCAGAAGGAAAGATGTGTGAATAATTGGCTTGAAGTATCCGATCGTCTCAGGTTATCTTACCCCATCCATGTTTTTAAAAGAAAATTCCAGTTGTCACCTTTGTATATATATTTTCCTGGTTTCTTTTCATTTGAGCTCTGATTTCTGTGGAGTGACCATTGTCCCTTGGCCTCAAGGGTTCATCAAAGGCAACCCGATGGCAGTGCCTTTCGCACCCAAACATCAGACCCGCCCTGAGAATCTTCTTCTCCAGTCTTTTTTGAACAGCGCCCAAGATGGAAGCATCATTCCAAATTGGAACAAATGCATGAATGGGAGGGAGGGGGTTCTTCTGTTTCCTCTCACCTCTTCCTTCTACCACTCCCCCGCCACACCCCCTGCCAACTCTGCCTGACCAAGTGCTTCCTTTAGGTCCAAATGCAGGAAGGGAGGGGTCTTGCTGAAATCCTTCTCTGGACAGACGTGCTGGATGCCAGGTGACAACGTATGGGTTTTGCTTTGCCTCCTTTTATTTTTTTTTCTTGCTATCTCTAAGCTCATTCCCAGGAATCTCTAAGACCTCTGGGGGTCGTAGGCACTCTCTATATGGTCTTTCTTTTTGGAAATCCTCAACACCAGCCTCCTCCATGTCTGAAACCCAAGGCTCCAGCAAACATCCTGGATGTGCTTGACTGGCCACCTGCGATGCCTGGAGTTGCCATAAACTGTGTGCCAACCTTGCTTGGGAGATGCCCGTTGGTGAGAAAGACGCTTGGGGCAGTTCATAGGGTCCCCTGTGACTGCTGAGGGACCCCAGGGCTGAGTTTTTTAAGGCTAGATAGGGAAGAGATGGGCCACATGCACGCCCACCCACTGACTTCCCAAGACATGAAAATCTTTCTTGATAAATCCACTATTTGCAAATGGTGTCAAAACATACCTTCCTTCTCCCTGGCCACATCTCCAGGAGTCTCCATTTGTCTCCCCCATCTCTTCTTCCTTTCACCCTTTGCCATCTCTTCCTTCTCTTGGGGGTGGGGGTGAGGGGTGGAGAGGAATCCTGTTTCTCCAGGTTCAGCACCATGGACAGGGACTGAAGCCCCGCCCCCTCCCCCAGTCTGACCTTTGGCTGACCTTTGGCTACCGTTGTCGACCCAGTCACCCACCCAGCCACCCACCCAGCCTTTTGCATCTGGAAGCCTCATGCATCTGTGTCTGGAGCTTTGGCCCTGCTTGATAACAGTGTGTGTTCTTCCCTGAGGTAGTGGTCAGTGGTCAGTCTGTTATCTGTGGCCCTTGGGTGGAAATTTGATTCCTCCAGGAACTGCTGCTTTGGGTGATTTTTCTTTCCTTTCCTTCTTTCTTTGTTTTAGATCCAGTTAATGTTCTGTTTTGTTCTGTTTTGAAGAAGGCTTCACGCCCAGCGTGGAGCCCAACGCAGGGCTTGAACTCATGACCCTGAGATCAAGACCTGAGCTAAGATCAAGAGTCAGACGCTTAACCAACTGAGCCATCCAGGCGCCCCGAGATCCGGTTAATGTTTTAAAACAATTTTGATGCGGTGGCTCTCCAGGGCCATAGGTCCCCTTGGAAGACACTCCTCATGTTCTGACCAACTCTTCCTGGCTGCTCTCTGTCTTTCCTTCAGGTGGGAAGGGCCCCTTGGTACCATCTTGGACAGTAGGAATAGACCTGCTCTGTTCAGTGAGACTATAGATACCATGCAAAACCCTCCAATTCTTAATTAGTTATGTTTCAGCCCAAGTATACCCAACAGGGAAGAAAAACACTTGAACATGAGATGAACCTGGAGATCTTTTGCCCAGCCTCCCACACCTTGATTGGAAACAAAAATCCATTTAATTCCTCACTGATTAGGACATACAAAGTCCACCCACCCCCCTTGAAACTGACGAGAGCAGCCTCACCTCTCCACTGCAGAGTGGACCCTCACAGTGGGTCAGGAACCACCCTCTCCATGCAGGCTCCCCTTGACCTCTGGATCCCACTATGCTCAGTGCAACCAAGTTAGAAGTGGCTGATGCCTGGAACTTTTGCAGATAGCTGGGCAAGCGTGTCGTTGGTTTTCCTCTCTTTCTAAGCCAAGCGGTTTGTATGCTGGTTTTCTGGCCCTAAGCGAGCGGTTTCTATGCTAGTTTCTTGAGTTTGCCTGGAGCCACCTTTGGAAATCTGTCTCTTTTTAAACTAACTTAATATGCCTTAATCGTTTGTATGCAATCAAGTCACCTGCCCTCATCTAATCACCTTCCTGGGGGCCTTTGGCTCTCCTTAAATGAGAGTCTTGCACAGAAAGCAAATCTCTCTGTATGTACAATCTGTCTACAGACACACAAACACACACACCCTTTGCACATCAGCATTTTGACGGCTGGTGTTTTGATAAGTCTGTATCTAGATCCCCCTCTTCGTGGCTCTTGCCTGATGAAACAGAGGCCTTTGGCCTATGAAATCCCGTGGCGAGACCTCAAGAATCAGTTTTATGGAGAATTCCTTGGTGCCACCAGAGAAATTCTGGTGAGGCTGAAGCCTCACGTTGTTTCATGGGGGGTTTGGAGTGACACAGACCTGACAGCCTCAGGTTATCCGGGATTCGGGAAAAGGACAATCAGATGGGAGCTCTTCCAGGGGGACAAGCCAAGTCCTATGCTCTCAGACAAATGTGTTTGCCTTTGTGCGTCCAAGGAAGTGAGGCCAACTCTAGGTATTGCTAAGGAGCGAGCATCGAAATAGACGCAGGCCTGAGGTCCCAGAGCTTAGAGGCTGTGCAAGGGAGTGGAGGAAACCCATGGCGTGCCCGCCCCCGCCCCCCCAGAGGGGAGCTCAGCTGCTCGCACTCAGACCTGGTGGCCGCTTTGTCCACTTAACGCTTATGCATTTTCTCATCACAATGCCCCCAGATTGCCCCAGGAGCTAGGCATAATCATACAGCTGAAAATCCATAGGCGTGTGGTCAGATCACCTCCAAAGCTAAATGCTTTTTTAAAGATGACTTGGGCTGGCGTGGAAGACGGTGTTCCACGGAGAACGCTGTCGAGCCTGCCTCTCACTCTCCAGTTCTGTGTTTACCCCTCAATCCCTGTGGTACCCCCTCACCCCCCAGTCCCGTCCCTTCGTACAGGAAACCAGATTACTTAGCCTGTGTGTAAACTAGCATTTCAGGGTGAGCCCGAGGGATGTAGAGGCAGGAGAAAAGGTCTATCCAAGGGGAGACACCCTCGCCCCTAATTTACACTGTGACAAGTCACTAGAGTAAATGGGGAAGCCTCCTACAGCCTCAATTGTGCCTTTCTTCCTCCACCACGCATTCAGACGTGGAAGCAAAACTCCCATGGCATTGTGATTCCACGGGGGAAGAGGGACAATATTGACGTGGAGGGAACCACTTGAAGCAGGCGGGACCCACTCCACATCTGGAAGGGGGTCCACCTTGGGCTACAGCCACCTAGGGAGCCGTGGATGTGGGCTCTGCCGAGAGGCTGCTACAAATCAACCCTGTTGGGGTTTTGAGCAAGCTGAGGTTCTGGAAATGCAGAGCCACATGGAAAGCCAGTGGGCGCAAGTGTGCTGGGTCTTCGCCAGGCTCTCCCCTTTGGTTACCCCCCTCCAACCCTCTAGAATTTGCTTTCTTTTGTTGGGATTGGTTCCTGCAGGGAGGGGTGCAGAAATCTGTGTTCTGGAAAATCAGCCTGAGGTTCCTGGCAAATTAACCCTTAAAATCAATCAGCTTCTCCCCCTCCCTTAAATCTCCTTAAATAGTCACCCTCTAACCTGGTACCTGAACATCTCCCTCCATGATTCAGACTGGCCCTTTTTTTTGACAATCTCCAGTGGTATCATGTCAGCAAAAAAAAACACCAAAAACCAAACAAACAAACAAAAATCATGCTGTTGTCTAAAGAACAATTTGAGCTTTTTTACTGGTCTCATTCCAAATAGCCTTATAGATCCTGTAAATAAGGGGCTCGCAAAAGTAATATATTGTGTTACGGAAGATATTTTGTACTGTGTTGTTTCCTAAATCATACCAATATCCTAGAAGTGATGCACTTCCCAGATGATTCTGATCCTCAAAACACTTTGTAAGAAGGGGCGGAGAGCGGAAATACATACAAATACACTATATATTTTCTAACGTTTCTTCTGAGTCCCTTCCTGAGATAAAATTTGAGTCACGGTAGAAAAGAAATTCGAGTTACACCTGCTGCCTGCTGGCATTCTTGCAATTGCCTTATGAATTCACAAGCTCTAAGGGGTTCTGAACAGAAGGTGGACAACAGGCACTTTATCCAATCCCAGAAAGAATCTAATCGCATGACTGAGCATTCATCTAGAAAAACCTATATTTTTAACCTTAAAACAAATGGGGCTTCCCGGACCTCACAGAGTATTGGGTATCTACAAGTGCTTTTATATTTTGTAACTGTAAAGAGGTTTCATACGCACAGAAGAACAGTTGGGAATCTGGTCAACTGCCATTAGACAGGATGACCTTTGCATGTACAAAGATGTTGCATTCAGCCCATGAAAATAGCAAATAAAGCTTCAATGCAAGTTGCACTGAAGAACTTGGTGTGTCAGTGTGTGGATGAATGGGCTCTCCCATGCATGCACGCCCGTCACCAGCTGAGTCGGTCTGTTGTCTGTGCTGAGCTGGGGGCCGCGCGGCAGGAAGGGGGGGAGCTGGGGTCCTGGGAGAGGGGGACCCGTGGAGACAAAGCAGGATTTCCATTCAGCGTGGGCTGGAATCCTCATTCTGCCTCCTCCCGGCTGTGGGATATCGCTGAGCATCGGAACTCCAAATTGGGGGTTGGTGAGAGAGACCTTAGTGGGCAATAGTTGAAGGAAAGAAAACAGGGCATGTGAAGGTGCTGGGCACACAGTAGTTCCTCGGGATCCTAAAGGATCTGATGGGAGGAAGTCACACCATCTCTTTCTTCCCCCTTAGATCCCTAGCAGGTGACGGCTGCATCCCAAGTTAAGGGGTCGAATCCAACTCTGTGTTCCGTGGTCCCCAGCAGGAGGTAGTCCCTGGGTTTGAACTGCCAATAGTGGGCAGGATCCTCAGTGAATGGAAGCAAGGAAGTAGCAGCCTGAGCCAAGCGCTTCGTTCCATGATCTCTCCGTGGTTGTCCATTTATGACTGTTGCTGACCTCCAGTAGTTCCCCCAAGGTCACACAGGTCCACCTGCTTCCAGAGGCCAGCTGCCACCCACAGTGTCCCACCACCATCTCCAGGGATGCGGGGGGACCGAGTTTTAGGCTGAGTGGAGGATTTTAGCCAAAAATCACAACAAAACCAAACCCTGATCCGTAACAATTCACTCCTTGGCCCTCTCTTCATTTTAGTCTTCCAATAATCATTAATCATACTTAGAAAATGCACGGGCCTAGGTTTTTGATTTGTATTTGTTTTTTAATTTCTGTTTGTCTGCGTTTGTTTGTTTTTTGGGGTCGCAAATTAGGTGACTATCGTGATCACCTTTATTTCTGTTGAAGCTAAGATCTGGGCCCTGTGGCAAGCCAACCCCTCCTCCTCTCTGCTGTGTGACTTGGGTAAATGACTTCACCTCTCTGAACTGTTTCTGAGCCATCTATAAAATGGGGATGGCAATTCCTTCCCTCAAGAGGGCTGGGGGAGGATTAAACAATGTTCATGAAACCGGCACAGTGCCTTCCTTGCACACAGTTGGTCTTCAATAAATGGGAGCTGTCCATTGGGTATGCCTTCTACATGAAGAAAATAAACCTTTGTTGGGTCTGTTACAGCATCCCCTGGAAACCCAATTTGGGGGTTATATTTAGGGTGATCTGATTGAAAATTTAGGCCATGTGGCCCATGGGAAAATTGAGTGATTCTGGGGTCCCTCGCTTTGAGAGCTGGTGTCCTTCCAAGGATGTCCTTCGCCCAAACAGGAAGGTGATGGCTCCAGGAAGCCCCAGAAAGGGAGCTGGGGGGCACTGGAGAGCTTTACACCCCAATGCCCCCCGCCCGCCGGCGCTGTCAGACTTCCCACAAAGCTGATGAGGTCCGTCTGTCCCCAGGACGCCATCAGGGGTCATGGTGCAGGGACATAGGCACTGGGGCCTCCTGAGCCCGCTATTGGAGTGAAATGGCCCGAACGGAATTGGGTGGACAGGGCGCTGCCTCAGCAGGCTGGGATGTGCTGGGCCGTCGAAAAGCGCCCATAAATAGGGCACCGCAGCAAAGGCAGATTGTCTGCAGACGGTGCTGGCCCCTCTGTTCTTGCCGAGGCTACAGCAGCAGGTTCATTCTGGGACGGGCAGGGGCGGGGAGGCGAGGGCTGCCCTGGCAGGCCCAGGCCTTTGGGGATCTCCATGGGGCGTGCACGGCTGGCCCCCGCACAAACCGGGGATTCACTTAAGGGTTGGAGCCAAGAGGGAGGACCCAATCCAGCCACCAAGCCCAACTGGTGTCCGAGGGAGGCAGCCAGGGTTGAGCCCCTGGGCACGTGCTTAGGGAAGGGGGCCTCCAAAGACTGAGCGCAGGGGAGTGAGGGGAGTGAGCAAATCTGGGGGCTGCCAAGGATCCTGGGAGTCCTCCATGAGCTGGACCAGGCCGTTTGTCCTGCGGAGGCTGGGCATAAGCAGGACAGGCAGCCTGCAGGCTGTGCTTCCCTCGGCCTGTGTCCAGAGCACACGGCCACGCAGCTGTGCCCGCCAGAGTGGGGGGTGCAGATGTGTGCACCTTGTGGACCGCTGTGGGTGTCTGAAAGGGGCATATGTGAGAGATGGGGGGGCTGTCGTGTTCGGTGGGTGTGATGGGACTGGGTGATCACAGGAGTGTGTGCATGTGCATGCGTGTGTGTGTGCTGATAAACTGGAGAACAGTCCTGTGCATCTGTGTGTCATGGGGATCATGAGAATCCTCCCATGACTACCTTGTCATGACTGCCACGGGGCCAGTGTTGTGTGTCACGGTCCCCACAGGGATGAAGGGGGACTGTCTCTCTCTGTCTGTGTCTCTTTAAGTGGCTGGTACACCGTAAGTGCTTCATAAATGCATGTGGAATGAATAACCGAATGTATGGAAACGTGTCCCAGGACCCAGTCCCCCGCATCATGCGTTCTCTAGATGTCTATCTGTCCATCTCCCACCAGTCTGTGGTCTCCTGTTCGGCCCGGTCACCCAGCACCAGGCCAGGCACTGAGCAGATGTTCATGGAACCTTTGGTGGACAGAGGAAAGAATGAACAAAAGATTGGCCCAGAGCGTGGAGGTGGGAGAGATCCCTGTAGAGGGACCCCGCTGAAGCCCACCCTCTGGCCAAGGTCCAGGGGTGGTGCGTCTACACAGAACTTGAAGAACCCTGTTTCGGAGGTGGGGGGGAAGCAGTTGGGTGTAGGGGAAGGGCATGCGCTTTGGAGCCAGGCCCAATCCTGGCAGCTCCCTCACTGTGTGCCTTGCGGAAGTGGCTTCACCTCACTGGGCCTCAGGGTTTCCCTCTATAGAACAGGGATCCTGAGCCCACTGACTGTCCTAGTCCTTGTGGCCCATGATGGGTGCTCGGTGGATGTTTGTTGAATGACTGAATGACCGAATGCAGTGAGTGATGGCCACATCCCATGGGCAGCCCGGCTCTGGAGCTCATCCTTGACTTCAATCACATCAACCCCTAGCGTGGCCTGGGGGGCGAGGGGGGGCTGGTGACTCACTCATTTTCCTTTGGTTGGAGCCAGAGGTGTTCCTGGGGAGATGGCAGAACAGCATGGAGCGCCGGAGCAGGCTGCAACTGGCAAGAGCCATGGAGGCCTTGGGGGCACCTACAAGGTACAGAGCAGGGAGGGGTTCCAGGGTCTGTGGGCCTGGGGCTGCTCTCGGGCCTCGGGATCAGCTTCCCCGCCAGGCAGAAAGGAGCAGCGGCCCTTCCAGCCATCGGGGGCCAGGGAGACACCTCGCTCACCACGATCATGCTGCATCTTCTCTCTTCTGTGTCCTCATCTGCAGAAGGGAACTGGTCGCACAAACGCAACCTGACTCAGTGGGGCACAGAGGCCCGGCGGGGGCGGGGGTCTCAGGAGACATGGTGCTGACTCTCCTGCCTGACCTCAGTCCAGTTCCCCAGATTCTCTGGGCCTCAATAGCCCCATCTGGAAAATGGGAGCAATGCTCCTTGTCTCAGCCCCCAGAGCTGGTGCCAAGGAGAATTCCAACGGCTGGAATTTATTGGCTCTTCGCTCTCTGAGCTATCCCTGGGGGCTTTAATCTGAGATGGGGTCTGAGAAGCAGAGGCCTGCCTGGCCCTGGGCCTGATTGGTGGGAGCACACAGCTGGTCTAGGGACTTCTAGAGGCCTTTGCAAAGCCCCAGAGGCAGATGTCCACCATGAAGGTGGGTGCCTCTGCCAGGCCTTCCTGGCTCCTCTGGCATCTGTGGGCCATGCCCTGTCCACCAGGATGGGGGAGGAAAGAGCCAGCCCACTTCTTGAATCCTGGTGCCTCTACCTAATTTGCTGTGCAGCCCGGGACAAATGACTTACCCTTTCTGAGCCTTCTATAAAATGACCAGAACAGATGTACCCCAGGGACCTTCTCCAAAGACAGTTTGTGGTTCTAGGTGGATAAGAGAGGCGAAGCCTTCCTCCTCTTTTGCAGCCTCTTTCTCTCTGGGCGTGGGACAGGTGAAGGGCAACCCAGAGGTTGCCAACGGGTGTTTTCCTTTGTTAGGCACAGGGAAATTTTGCATTCAGGGAAATACAGCTTTCTGGCCTCTCTTGAAAAGTTTAAAATGGGGTGCACATTCCCTCCTGGCCATAAGCGGCTTCATTTCCTTCCCTAGGTCACTTCGCTCTCTTAGATTACGGCCTGCCAGATAACTGGTTGCAATCCGTGGTTTAATTGGAGGTTCTGGGGGGCGTTCCCCTCCATGGCCACGAGGGGGCAGCGCAAGCCTGTGGCCGATGCTGGCTCGAGACGTGTCCAAGGCAGAGGGGATGGAGCCCAGGGGATGGTACCTCCCTGCCCTGCCCCAAGGGAGACTGTGCAGGCCAGGGTCTGGGGCTGGAAGGGGGAGCCCGACCCCCATGGGATGCTCAGGATGCTGCCCTTTCAGGTGATCGTGTATGAAATGGAGAACTTCCAGGGCAAGCGGTGCGAGCTCTCGGCCGAGTGCCCCAGCCTGACAGAGAGCCTGCTGGAGAAGGTGGGCTCCATCCAGGTGGAGTCTGGGCCGTGAGTACCTGGACGCCCCAGCCCCCTCCTCACAGGCCCGAGCCTCCTGGGCGTCAGGAGGTCCGGCTTCCAGTTCTAGATCTGCTGTGGGACCGTTAAGTGACTCCCTCCCCATCTCTGGCCTCAGTTTTCCCATCTGTCTAATGGGGTTAACGGTGGCATGCACTTCAGAGTTTTTGTGAAAATGAATGGAAAGATGCACATAAATAATAACAACGTAATAATAAGGAGGAGGAGGGAGAGGAATTTGTCTTTGGATTACCTACTATGTGCCAGACATTGAAAGGACATTCCTGAGCACCTACACAGAGGCTGCACATAAAACAGATTCTTCATACCGTTTCCCAGGATGATTTTTCTGGTTCAGAGTCTCAGCTTCCAGTATATTCTAGGAGCTGCTTGAATACCTGGACCAGGGGTCCACGGTAGGGTTGGAGGGAGGGTTCAATGTCAAAGGTCAGCAGCTTGGGGGCCCTTCCCTCACTAGACGTGGGTCCCTCCCTCAGCAGCAGCCGTGGTGGACCCAGGCTGGCTTCCTCCTACAGGTGGCTGGCGTTCGAGCGCAGAGCCTTCCGTGGGGAGCAGTTTGTCCTGGAGAAGGGGGACTACCCTCGCTGGGACGCCTGGTCCAACAGCCACCACAGTGACAGCCTCCTGTCCCTCCGGCCTCTGCACATCGTAAGTACAGCTCCTGCCTGCTTCGGGGAGCTCCTAGAAGCTGGCCGGCCAAGCGCCCCGCACAAGCTCAGCGGAGGGCGGGGCTGGTACAGACCTGGCTTTGGGAAGGGCCCTCTTCACCTCTGACCTAGAAGATTGCATGGGACGAGAGGAAGTTGGCTATCGAATGGTCCCGGGGCTGGGGATCGGGACACCAGGATTCACATCTTGAATTTGCCAGCATGGCCTTGACACTTCCCTGCATAACCCTATTACAAATCAGGAGCCTCGTGGCCCAGCCTCGGATCAGGACTGTGCTCAAAGCAACACGTTCAGAAAGGAGCTTCAGAAAGTAAATGGTTCCTCACTTGCCTTTCCCAAACACCCGGAAGGGACTCGATCCACAGTATCACATTTAAATGTCGCTCTGCTCCCCCACCTGCTTCCCCCACACTCGGTGGCCTCTCCAGGCCTCTCTCCTTGTCACAGTAACATTTGTCTGCTTGGATGACAGTGAGAGGAAAGCTAGGAAGACCACATCTGAACCTGGTTTAGTAAACAGGGAATCCTCCTACATTACTGATTTTTATCTCCTTCCGGCCTCTCTGTGCCTCAGTTTCCCTATCTGCTAAACGATGGAGTTTCACAAGAGCTGAAAGGCCCCCTCTGGGTTTCACGGCTCCCTGGTTCTGAGATTCCTAAGGAGAGCGGCTCTGGAGGAACCACCCTAGTCCCCAACCCCTCCAGCAGACCTCTCGGGAATCCTCAGGCATTGGGCTTGGGGGCTCTGTGGTCACTGGACTCTTTCCCACACCTAACAACCCCTGCTCTGAGTGTGGGAGCAGCCGGCTCACCCCGTGACCCTGCCCCCAGGATGGCCCAGATCACAAGCTGCACCTGTTCGAGAACCCAGCCTTCAGCGGCCGCAAGATGGAAATAGTGGATGATGACGTGCCCAGCCTCTGGGCTCATGGCTTCCAGGACCGCGTGGCGAGCATCCGGGCCATCAACGGGACGTAAGGGACCCATTCCCCCCTCTTGCCCCTGCCCCGTCCTCTGGCTCCAAAGAGAATCTCTGTTCACCGTGTTTCCTACACAGCAGCCGCTCCCTGCTCTTCTAGGTCCTTTCCATAATCCTGGTCCTTCTTACCAGGGTAAGAAGTGACATAGTGGTTCTTTAGGTATGACCTGAATAGCACATAGGAGAGTACATAGTACATCACCTCCTTCCTTCTAGGCTTAATACCTCTGTTAATGCAATCTTAAGATCACCTTCCCTTTGTCAGTGACTGCATCTCACCCTATGTGCTTGAGATCTGGGGTTGAGCCTTGAAAGGTGCCACCTTTCCCTGATGATAATTTATTTAACAACTTTTTACTGAGCATTTCTATGTGCAGAATATGGGGACAACAAGAATTACACAGCCTCTGCGGTCAAGAATGTCAGTCTGCTAGGGAGGCAAGTAGACAGGTATCCACAATTCACTGTGATCAGGATTATGATGGGGGACACACTGGGGCTCTGGGAGTCCCCACCATGCACTTGATTCAGCCCAGGGGAGTCAGCAAGGGCTTTCCTGGAGGAGGAGACATATGAATTGAGATGTAAAGAATATGAATGAAAGGGGAGTTGGACACGATAAGACGAGGAAGAGTGTTCCAGGCAGAAGGAACAGCATGTGGAAGGGCTCAGAGACACTCCGCTTCAAGGAAAGTAGAGTCAGAGAGGTTGGAGTACGGGGTGTGAAGAAGGAACGTTGAGGGATGAGGCTGGAGATGTTTCACGAAGGACTTGTGAGCAGGGGAGGGAATTTGAATTCATCCGGAGGGCACTGGGGAGCCAGGGAGGAATTTAGGCAGGCAGAGAGCATGGTCAGATGCTGGCTTTAAAAGGATTGGTCTGGCTGGAGGCAGGAAGCTGACCATCCTCACCCTGACCTTGGTACCTGGCAGGTGGGTCGGCTATGAGTTCCCCGGTTACCGCGGGCGCCAGTACGTGTTCGAGCGGGGCGAATACCGCCACTGGAACGAGTGGGACGCTAACCAGCCGCAGCTGCAGTCTGTGCGCCGCATCCGGGACCAGAAGTGGCACAAGCGGGGCTGCTTCCTCAGCAGCTGAAGGGCACCCAGGCCCCCGTGGCCCAGGCCCGCCCTGGGGGGGCAGCAGAGGCAAGAAGAGGAGGCTTCAGGGCCAGGGTGATGGTCTGCCTGTCCCCCCTTCCCCGGAATCTGCTCAATAAAGCCTGGGGCCGGTCCCCCACCTGCCATGTTCCTCTGCATTCACTTCTTGAGGGGGCTGGGGCTTGAGGGCTCTGAGAACCACCAAGGGGGGCAGTGAGCTGGGTTCCTACCCTAAGCTCTAGTTGTTTTAGGCAGAATCACATGCACATCTTGCACTGATTTTGTGTTTGTTTTCCTGTCTGTGTTTCCATCTGTCAGTCTGTCCATCCATCTATCCAGCTATCTATCTCTCCTTCCACCCACCCATCTTTCTATCCATCCTTCCATCCATTCATCCATCAGTTCTTTCCATCCATTCTCCCATTGATCCATCTATTCTCTCTCCCATCCATCCATCCATGTCCATCCATCCATCCATCCATCCATCCATCCATCCATCCTCCCATTGATCCATCCATTCTATCTCTCTCCCATCCATCCATCCATCCATCCATCCTCCCATTGATCCATCCATTCTGTCTCTCTTCCATCCATCCATCCATCCATCCATCCATCCATCCATCCATCATGTCCCCCTCCATCTCTCTGTCAGTGTCTATTTTCATTAATTTATTCAGCAAATGCCAGGCCCTGTCCAAGGCCTGAGGACACAGCAGGGAACAAAACAAAGTCCTGCTCTCATGGAGTTCACATTCTAGGAGAGAGGCAGGAGACAAACAAGTAGATTCTGAGTCCACCAATTGTGCTATGGGCAGGAAAGTGCAATATTACGATGGCAGGTGATGGGGGGTGCTGGTCAGAGAACTCTGCTCTGAGGAGGTGACATTTGAGTTGAGACCTGAATGAACCATGAGAACATCTCAGCCAGAGGAATAGTGGGTGTGAAGGTCCCAAGCAGGAGCGTGGCTGGGTGATGGAGACTTGGCAAGGAAAGCAGTCGGTCTGGAAAGGAGTAAGCGGTAGAATGGGGGAGTGGTCAGAGAAGGCGTGGGGTCAGGGTAGTTAGGGCTCCACAGACTCTCGTCTGAAGGAGGTGGGAGCCATGGAGTGTCTGAGTGAGGTGAGACATGACTTAACAGGATTGTTCTGGCTGTGGAACAGAGTGTAGACCACGGGGCTATGGGGGAGGCAGGGGGACAAGCCGGGAGGCCACTAGCTGAGCCATGATGGTATGATCTCCCGGACTCTCTCTTTTCCTTGCATCCATAGCTCTGTCCACCTCCTACAGGTCTTCTGCAGCCTTGGCTGGGGGACCGAGACCCCATCCCACCTCCCACCGCTGACTGTGACAGCTCTGAGCCTCTGTTCCTTCATCTGGTTGAAGTGGTTGCCACAGTAGTGCCAGCCATAAACGAGGGTCTCCTCTGGCCCCCAGTGGGAAGAAGAGGGAGTGTTCCCTCTGCCAGTCAGGTGACAGCTGGCTTCCTGCAGTCCCAGGGACCTGCCCTCAGCCTTCCCACCTCCATGAGCCAGTCCTGCGTGTTTGCCTGACTTGGTTCCCCTGTTGTGCCCAGACCCGGTCCCAGCCCCCTGCAGCCTGCCCCTGCAGCTGATGCAGCTGGTGTGCGGGAGGCTTGAGGGGGCCTCAGGAAAGCATTGAAAAGATTGCAGCAATTGTCAGTTACTTCAGCCTGTATATTTAAAAAATATGTATGCACAGCTGATCAATCACCTTGAATTATTTTTACTTTGGTGTGTAGGGGAGAGCTGGGTGGGGCGTCAGCCTCGGGGTGGAAGGTGAGGGGCCCCCAGCAAGGCAGACCAAAGGCTGGGTTGACTCCCACCCCCAGCAAGGATGGCAACACCCCACTCCTCCCACCTCCCCCTGCCCCCAAGATTCACCCCCTCGTCCCTCTTACAGACAGAGACCTTGTTTTGCTTTGTAAATCAGTCCTTACTCAAAGTGCTAGGGCTGTTTGGACATTGTCTGGGTCACTGAACCCTAAGATGACCTTGGAAGGCAGGCACCGTTACTCATCCTATTTCACAGATGAGGAGGCTGAGGCTCAGAGACGCAGCATCACCTTCCCAGGGCCACACATACAAGAAGTGCTAGAGCTGAGGTTTGCCGTCTGTGTGCGGACGCTGGAACATTCACTCCTAAGCCCCGCACACGGTGACATGTCCCTCAGGGGCAGGGACACACGGCAGAGAAGAAAATCAACAGTAGCAACAATAATAATAAAAGCCACCTGACTGTCCCCACAGTGTGCAGAGTACACCGCTGGGTGCTTTACGGTGTCATCTCTAATCTACTGACAGGCGGCGCAGATCCCCGTGTGCAGAGAGGGCAATGGAGGCCCCGAGCCCTGAAGCAAACTGCCCGAGTACCAGAGCTTTAGAGGGTGGGGCTAGGACTCAAGTTCACTTCTGCCTCCAAAGCTCATCCCCCTCCCAACACCCGCCCGCCGGCTGTCCATGCTCTGCTTGGCCCGGGGTCTGCAGCTGGGCTGACTCTAGAGGTGGGGTGCCGCCGGACCCAGATCCAGGGGGATCCAGGAGGTCACTGATGTCTGAACGACTGTCCAAAGCCTCAGACCCATACTAACCATCTGGGTCAGGGAGGGCTTGCTCTCTGCAAGAACTCCAAGGCATTTTCCCATTCAATCCTCCTAACGGCCCAGGGAGCTCAGAGAGGGAGAACTGACTGCTGGGGTCACACAGCCTGGGAGGGGCAGAGCTGATTTTGGACCCCAGGCCCATCTAACTCCAAAAGGCCACTCTTAGCTCCCACCTAGACTCAAATTCTAGCTTCTGCGGGGACAGAGCTTGAGAGGGTTAGTAAAGTAAGAGTATCTCTCGGTGACAGGCGGGTGAGGGCGAGGGTCAGGAAATCACGTTAGCTGTTTAATCGAGAGGCAGTGTAGTCTCCTGGTTAGAGGCAGCATGGTCAAGGGGTTAGAGGCAGAATGACTGAGTGGGGCTCTTGATCCATACCACTTGGGGTCCTTTCCAGGCTCTACCACTTACTGTGTGACTTCAGGCAAGTGGCCTAGCCTCTCTGTGCCTTGGTCATCCATAACTCAGGGCTAAACAACACTATCTATCTCATAGGTTGTTGTGAGTATTAACACGAATGTAATTTGCAGGAAGGGCTGAGAACAATGGGTAAAACAGAGGACCTGCTAGGTAAGTGTTCATCTTCCTCCTCCTCATCAAAAAATGGTGACCCTGGAGATGGGCTCCATGGTTGTGTGGAGCAGGGGCTTCCCAATTACTCAGTAACGGGGGTTCGTCCTAAGGATGCCAGGGCAAACCAGGACATAAGGCAACTAGGCTGTATGGTGAGAATGCAAACAGCAGCAAGGCTTCACCAGGAAGAGGGGACCCGGGGGGCGAGCGGGCTCATGGAGGCAGGACTCTCGGAGCCCAAGGACTCTTGGGAGCTGGGCAGCAGGCTCTGTGGGCACTCTCCTGGGACCCCAGCCTTGGAGATCCTCAGCGAATGCATCTCCCACTCCTCAGGTGGGAACTTTGCCAAGCATTCTTCCCCGTTTTGTAGAATCATGGGGCCCGTCGTGGTGTTGCCCATGGAGTTGGCATCACTGATAAATTACCGGTGGGCCAGTCTGTATGTGTGGCGATATTAGGTTCAAGATGATTCTTCAGAGGCATGTGAGCATGTCAAATGCATGTTCCGTTCAATATTACCTGCCTATCCAAACCTGTCTATGATGAGTAGCACAAACACCTCAAATCCCTTTCTTACTTCATCTGGTATAATCGCTCTGTCCAAACCTTTCATATCGAAATACATATCACTACATATTTCATTTGATCATTCCTTTATATTATAGTCAGGGCATTTTACGATGCATTTATTTTGAAAGCATATATGTAGGTGGATTAGAGGATCAATTTTATTCCAGGAAAGCAGAGGGGCTCTCACAGAATGATCGTCATGAGAAGGGAGTGTTCGTTCTGGTAGAGTTGAGGACTTTTCCCTTGAGGGTCTCGAAGGTTCTTCCGGCTCTGGCTCCTGTATGTTTAAGGAGTGAACTGTGTTTGGGGACACCAAGGCCTATTGTCCCTGTAACAAGGTGAGGCAGAGAGGAAGGTCAAGCCCTCTCTCTCCATGTATCGGTCAGGCTATGCTGGGTAACAAGCAGCCCCCAAGTCTTGGTTGTTTAACAACAATGGTTTATTTCTCACCCCATGTCACATTTCTAATGCTGGTCTAATGCTGGTCTCCTTCACCCAGTCATTCATAGACCCAGGCTGGCAGAGGCTTCACCCTCTTGCAACGATGCATCTCAGCGAATGGAAGAGAAAGGGCTGGAAAGTCTGCAACAAAATGACAAGACTTCTGAGACATCTCAGAATCCACTGGCCAGAATGAATCACATGACCCCACGTCATTTCAAGAAGACCCAGTGGCAACCTGCTCATGCATACATACACCCTATTGGCTGCCTTCCCTTCCCTGCTGATTCTTCCTGGGGTCACTTCTCAAATAAACTACCTGCCCTTGAACCCTTGTCTTAGACTCTGCTTCCGGTCACGCCCAAACTAAGACACCTTCACTCATCTCTGTATTTCTTATTCACTAATTAATTCAACCAGTCAACAAATACCTTCTAAGCACCTACTGTGTGCTGGGTCTAGGCAGGCACTGGGGCTACGGATGAGACCAAGCCCAGCTCTGATCGAGCTCATTGTCTAGAAGAGCAGATGGCTCAGGACACACCAAAAGCCAAGTGCGTTGAGGTCCTCCCCCCACTAGAGCCTTCAGTGGGCGCATAGTCCTGCTTGATTGCAGATTTCTGGCCCCCAGAACTGGGTAACAATACATTTCTGGGGGATGGGCTTCTTTGGACATTATTTTTATGGTGCAAAAATATACTACATAGCATCAAATTTACCATTTTAATCATTTGAAGTGTGCAGTTTGGCAGCATTAAAGTACATTCACGCTGTCGTGTGACCAGCACCACCATCCATCTCCAGAACTTTCTCATTGTCTCACACTGAAACTCTGGGCCTGTTGAACACTAACCCCCGTTCCTCCCTCCCCCAGCCCCTGGCACCCGCCATTCTCCTTCCTGTCTCTATAAATCTAGCTCCTCTAGGAATGTCACATCAGGGGCATCATGCCTCATTTAGATTTAGCGACTGGCATATTTCACTTAGCATCATGTCCTCGAGGTTCATCCATGCCCTAGCATGGGTCGAATTCCCTTCCTTTTTAAGGCTGAATTGTATTCCATTTTGTGGATACGTTTCGTTGATCCATTCATCTGTCAAGGAGCATTCGTGTTGTTTGCACCTTTTGGCTGCTGCGGATAATGCTGCTGTGAACATGGGCGTCCAAGGATCTGTTCGAGGCCCTGCTTTTGATTCTTGGAGGCTGAATACCCATAAACAGAATCGCTGAGGGATAGGGAAATTTCGCTGATAATTTTTTGAGGAACCGCCATACTGTTTCCATAGAGGCCACACTATTTGGCACCCCAAGTTTCTGTTGTTTTAAGCCCCTCGGTCTCAGTCCTTTGCTGTGGCGGCCCCAGGAAACCAAGAAAGCACCTCCCATGCATCATGTGCTGGACTCTGTGGGTTCCACGGTAAACCAGGCAGACCGTGGCCCTCCCCTCGTGATGCTTACCTTCTACTTGGAAAGATGGCAAATAAATGAGTAATGTCATGTCAGGCAGTGAGAAGTGCTACAGACAGAAGCAGTGTGGCTGAGTGTGTGTGTGAGGGTGTGTCTGTCTGTCTGTCTGTCTGTCTGTCGGGGGCATGGAAGGTGGGGGAGCGCAAGTCTTGCTCAAACCTGGTCTCTGAGCCCCACTACTGTTCCTTCTCTCCTGCCTGATCTTGGATTTGGTCAAGACTCCGGCTGGCTTCGAGAAAGACATGCACACTGGAGGAAATGTACATAAACGCCAGGGCCCCATGGGGCAGTGGGTGCTCTTAGGACCCTAGGCCCCTGAGGTTTGGAGAAACCAAAGAGCACCCACTTAAGAACAGCAGGTGCTGGGACAGCCCGGGGTCTTCAGCAGGAAGTTCACCCTCCTTGGCCTGCAGGATCAGGCCCCTGTCCACCTTGGGCCCCGAGCCTGGGTGCTGCTATACTTTAGCTACATTAACCTGCTTTCACGTCTTTAAATAACACACCAGCCCCCGCACACAGTCCCTTTCTGTTTGGAACTGTCTTCCCAGCCTGGTTTCCCAAGCTGATTTGTCCCCATCCCTGAGGACTCTGTCTCTTCCTGGGAGCTCTCCTGGACCGTCTAGACTGTGGTGGATCCCCTCCCTGACACTACCCCCCTGTAACAGAGCTTGGCACCAAGTCGATGCCTGATGAATATTTGTCGAATGAATGAATGGGTGGGTGGATGGATGGATGCCGGACCCTGGCAAGCCACCCTCCTTTCCTTGTTTTTTTTTCCCCAGGTCCACTGAGATTTGCCTCTGTCTGCCTTCCCCCAGGGCTCAACTGATCACACCAGTGAACCCAGCGTGGCCCCGGTCCTGGCAGCTGGATGGCTGATGCATGCAAAGTGGGCATCCCCTTGCCCAGCCGCCTGACCATCCTGGCGCGGCCGAATCCAAAAGCTAATGACATTATTGTGCAGAGACACAATGTCTGTGGGCATTTGCTGACCCGGGCTTTGGTGTGGGCTTAATCCAGCATTCTCGTCCTGCTTTCTGTGGGGACGCAGCGATCACCCGTCTTGGCACCAGCGCTCCTGGGGAAGGTATAAATGCCACCTCCCACCGGCTGGGCACCACGGGCACTCTCGGGGGCTGGTGTCACTGGTAAGAATGCCTTTCTTTCTTGCCTTGCCTTTTTCCTCTCATCCTTATCCCTGATGGAAAGCGTGGGAGGCCTGGGTTCGAATCCAGGTGCCACCCCCTTCTGACGCGGGGACCGTGGGCAAAGACTTCTATGCTCTAAGCCTCAGTTTTCTTTTCTGTTAAGTGGGGAGATGGGTCATAAACCCTCTTTCGCCGTGGGTGGTCTTGTGCAGCGCCTGGCACATAGTGCGGACCCGGGCAATGCTCTTTATTAATATGAACTAGTCCATCAGCGCCCTTGTTTTGCTAGGGACTAGGGAGGGTTTGTATGTGGAAGGAATCAAACCAGTGAAGGTTCAGCAGCATTTCTAGGCTGGTGAGCCAGCTCTCCCCGTATCCCCATTCCCGGGCGCCTGCTACACGTCCAGCGTTGGGGAACATCAGTGGCTAAGAAGCTGCCGGGGCTCTCTGGTGCTCCCAGCAATGGGGGATTTCAAGGTCACTGAAGGTTGGTGGCAATAACCCTAATAATACCATCGCGGCTGCCATTTACAGACGCCGCTGCCAAGTGCTTACCTTTTTTCCGCATCATGGCTTCAAATCATCACCACCTGTTCATAGATATTGTTGGGTGCCATGACTGTCCCCACTTGGCAGAACGGGAAACTGAGGCACAGAGAGGATGACCCGCCCAGGGCCGCATTGCTGATGGACAGTGGAGCCAGCACCCCCCGAGTTAAGCCAACTGAGCTTAATCTTTAGCGTGCGAAGGCCGATGAGCAGGGCTGCGCCGCTGGGCCTCTGACCCTGTGACAGGCTGGTTACATAGGAGAGCAGAGCGGGTTTGGTCCCCAAGCTGCTTATTCGAATTTCTTCTCTCTGAGGGACGTCCTGGCCCGGCCTCTAGTATGGAAGGGGCTTCTGGAAGCTGGACGTTCTCTCTGGAACAGGAGCTCAGGTCTCCCGTCTTCACTGGGAACACGCAGTCTTGGGTTCACTGCCCCTTGTGCGGGAAAGAAGACAGTGCCAGTTTTCCAGACTTTTCTGATGTTCTTGCCAGCTAAGAAATGCTCTCAGCTGCTGCCTACCGTGACCAGGACATTTCTGCATATCGATGGGTCTGCATTCTGCTCCGCTTGTCTGGAGCTGAGTGATGGGAACCCACTCGGGACCCGGCTGAAGCTCTAGTTTATCACCACTTTCTTAGCGGACCTCGTTTTTCCCTCCGGAGCTGGCCTGGACACAAAGAAATGCAGCTAAGGATGGAAGTTCAGACCGCCGCTCATGACCCCCGCTGCTCTGGGACAACCCGAGACCAGGGAGACCAAGAGCAGGCTCTAGGGCCCGAGGCCCCCAGGTGGGAAAGCCGAGGCCCGAGAGAGGTCCTCAAGGCCACTCCCTACATCTCTTCCAGGTCATTCCTGCACAGGACCACCCACTATGGCCTCAGACCACCAGACTCAAGCGGGCAAGCCACAGCCCCTCAACCCCAAGGTGGGTACCATGGTGGGAGAGGGCAGGGGGGGCAAGCAGAGCACCTCTCCCAGACTCTGTTTCTCTTCTGGAAAGTCAAGTTGGCATCTTTCTTCCTGAAGCTCCCCCTCTCTGGGCTTCAGTCTCCCCGACTTGCACCCCGGGGGTGCTGATTCTGAAGGCCCCTCCCCAACCCACAACCAGCGCGCCAAGATGCCTGACACCAGCCTCCAGCGCTGGTGACTTAAGTGTCTCTGCTTTACCCCGTACCCCAATGCCCATGGGGGGCTCCCCAGAGCTGGGGCCGACCCAAAGTCCAGTGTGAGAGGGGGCTTGTGAACGGGAGGGGAGATGGGATTCCCCACCTGCTGTGTGACCCAGGCCAGTCACTTGCCCTCTCTGAGCCTCAGTTCCCTCCTTTGTAAGATGGGGAGAACTGGATTCGCGGCGCAGCGTGGGTGTGAAGAGGTTAAGGAAATCAGCTCAGCCTGGCATGTGGTGTGTCCATCTAATACCAGTTACTATTGCCTGCTTTGCTTCCTTGTCCTCCCCGCCCTCCTAGGATCCTGGGGGGGCATCCCAGCCCAATGGCCGGGGGCTCATCCTACCCAATTTGTACCAACCCTCTCCCAGCAACCATCCACCTGGTCGCCTCTGCCTGGCTCCCTCCTGTGGCCCTCTGCTACAGGGGCCCTGGCCTGGCATTGCCCTTTGGTCTGACATGGGCACCCCCCCAGCCTGGGGAAGCTTGAGCCGATGCAGCCCCCCACTCGCTGACCCCATTCTTACTTTCTACAGGAAAGGCAGACAGCAAGCAAACAAATCTAGGACTTCGAGGAGTGGGAAGTGTTTCAGGAAACAGGAAACAGGGGAAGGGGTGCAGAGAGTCGGGATGAATGAGGCAAGGTGGTGTTAGCAGAGGTGATCAGGGAGGCCTCTCTGAGGGAGGTGGCATTAGCTTGGAGACCCGGGTCACATGTGAGTCAGGCGGGGGTAGGGGAGAACATTCCAGGTGGAGGGCGCAGCGAGTGCAAAGGCCCGGAAGTGGGAGGTGGGAGCGAGCTGCGTGAGTCTGAGGACCGGCACGAAGGCCTCTGCGTCGTGTTCAGAGCTGCGCTGTCCCCTAGACACAGAAAGCCAGCCACGCATGCGATTTAACCCGTCCTAGCAGCCACGATAAACAAAGGACAAAGAAGACACAGGAGAAATTAACTCTCGTATCCTAGTTCATTAAACCCGATACAGCTCATGTCGAATCAATAGAATCATTATAAGAAAGCGATTTTTGATTCTTCCCTTCCTATTCCGAGTCTTCAAAATCCAATGTGTCGCGTCCGTGATAGCATCTGCGTTCGGACTGATCAAGCACATCGCGCAGACATAGGTAGCTAACGGCCGGGCATCGGGCAGCGCACGTTTAGAGGATTAGATATTGTGTAAAATGTGAGCCTCCGTGGGTTGATAAGAAACAATAGCAGTAATAATAATCCTGAGCTTCTGGGCCTTGTGTGAGGTTGCTGACCTTCCTTGTCCTCCTCCCTGCTGCAAGCCCTTGTCTCCCAGGCCGGGGTAATCAGCACCGAGCACCTAACATCCTTATTCTTGAGTCTTCCCAGGACCCTGCAAAAGAGGCATGATTCCCCCATTTTACAGATGGGCTAGCTGAGGCCGGAAGCAACCAGGTTGCTTCCTAAGGTTGCACAGCCGGATGCGACGGGGTGACTTCAGAGCCCGTGGCTCCTGACCCTCCTGTGGTTGAGTGAGTGACCACAAAGGCTGGACTGAGCCCATGGAATTTGTCTCGGAGCCCCGTTGGGCCTCTCCGTCCTGGCTTTATCTCCCTAATCCCAGGCCTGGGAGAGAGGGTCGTGTCTACCCAGCCAGTGCTGACCATAAGGATGGCGCAGCTGCCCCTCCTGGGGCCCACCTCTTCACCCAGGGCAGCTCCCTGGGGAAGCGTGGCCACAAAACCTCTGTCCCCCCGCAAATGTTCTCTAGAATCAGGGAAAGTGGCAGTGGGTCTCCCAGTTAGTGCTCTTGGGGGACCCCTTCAAACTCCCTGATGGGGATCTCGCTGGCCCCCTTCCCTCGGCTGCTGAGAGCGCCAGGTGAGGCAAAGGGAGTGAAGCCCCTTTAAGAAGCATCCCAGGGGAGGTCAGAGGGGGACCCGCAGAGCCAGGGATGAAATGGGGTTAGGTGTGTAGGGTGGTGGGCTGGCTCTAGCAGAAGAGAAGCCCTACCACACCTGCGAGCTCGTTAGAAATGCTGCATCTGGGGCCGCACCCCGCGATGTGCTGTCTCAGAAACCATGTCTCACCAAGATCCCAGGGGCTTTGTGTGCATGTGAGTTTGCAAAGTGCTGCCCCAATGGAAACAGCATCAGACAAACTTGGACTCCAACCTCAGCTCTGCCACTTAGGCACCCAAGCTCTGTAGGACGTCCCTTAATTCACAGGAGTCTGCCTCCCACACACAGAGCAAACACTGTGCGAACCGTTATGCTTCTCTGAATCCTTCCAGCAAGCCCATGAGGTAGGTTCTGTCATTTTCCATTTCACAGGTGAAGCAACTGAGGCTCAGTGAGGGGAAGTTCTGGCTCAAGGTCTCACAGCTGGTAACTGGCAGAGCCAGGGCTGTCTGACTCCGTGTTGGGTCGGTGACTCCCAAGGGAGGAGCCCGGCAGCATCCCCGGAGGCTCTCGGAGCCCCCTCCTCACCCCCAGTGCCCTGCTTCCCGCCTCCCCACGATGACGGGTCCGACCCCCTCCTCCTGTTGCAGATCATCATCTTTGAGCAGGAGAATTTCCAGGGCCACTCGCATGAGCTCAGCGGGCCCTGCCCCAACCTGAAAGAAACTGGCGTGGAGAAGGCAGGCTCTGTCCTGGTGCAGGCTGGACCGTATGTACCGGGGGTGGGGGGGG